TCTCTTACCAATGCGTATAATCTGCCACAAAAGACCGAGAACCAAGTGTGGCTTTCCTTTGGCCAAGTCATCTGCGTCAATGTTCACGATGCAGCAACCGATAGCCCGGGCCGAGTTCACGGCCAACGTCAGGTTCTCGCGCCGAGTGTACGCGTTTAGCTGCTTGCGGTTAATCGCGCGCTCGTCGATGGTGTCCGGTACGGCGACGTTAATCAGTTTGCTTAAGTGCCATAAGAGCGATGATGAAAACACAATGGCAAGCTCTTATAAACACTCACCACAAAATTAGACCGTCGACTAACTTCTCGTAAAGGTCCTCGCCTGATTCGCTAAGGGGCAACAAGTACGCAAGGTCACTGTCGGCACCAAGGTTCCTGAAAAGAATAAACACACTTACGCGAACAAGAATTTGTATAATCAATTGTCTTGATTGCACATAATTATATCTCGTTACGTATTGAAAAATATACATGATTTCTTTATGGGAGATATTATAATCTTTTGGTAAGTCATAAACCGGAAAACAACGCATAAAATGTTTTTTAATTAGGGCCATCTGACGTTACGGACCGAGCTTGGTCCGAAAAGTCAGATGTCTCTAATTAAAGAACATTTTATGCGTCACGTATTATACATATTATATCGTCTTGCCGTCAATATATTCAAATATGTTCAACATGTCGATCCCTGGCAATTCGGATATGTGCGGGGACGGAGTACTCTGAATGTATCGATCGCAGTCGTAAAAATTAACCAGCAACCTCATCGAAGGACGAGCGTTAATAAGGGTGTCCCTTCTGCGTGCCAGTTCGACTTATAACACGCTGTCAAAACTTTAGCAACTTACACCGTCGGTTCGCACAGGCGTGGAGTTTCATACTGCCGATCTGCTGGTCTACGTATTACTTGAGATTCCGAGAGTTTGTTCAGCTAGCCAAAAGAAATCAATGGTTCACCTGCACTGTTCATCTCATACACGTCGTGATGCAATCCATTCGATATTACAAACCCGTGGGTGAACTACGCTGACGATGCTGCTCCACTGGTTTCAGCATAGTCCAGATGTGAATAATTGTGTTTCTTTGTGTCCGTTTAAGGGGTGAGAGACTGGATGAGAGTCGATTAAAAGAAATTTATCGACTGCAATCTTTATCATGCGATTCCTGTAAGAACGGGCTTTACGAAACTTGCTTTAGCAACTACAGAGTTGAGCAACAGCTTCTGAAGGAAGAAACAGCTCAGCGGTAAAATACCTGAGGTCGATTGTGGATGAAGGCTACGGCTGGGAACAAAAGACGAATACAATGGTTGCTAAAGTGCGGCTAGAGCTCGGTTTCGGTGATGGGCCGACTGAAGGGATTGTGAGTCGATTTCGAAATGTTGAATTACTTAAGCAAACTTGCGTTCTATCGTTCTTTCTCCTCACTGTACCGATCTGCAGCCTCCGGGGGAAAAAAACTGGCTCGAGCTCGCATACAACGCCTTCTGAAACTACTTAGCGTTGACGAGTTTGGACGCATCCCAGCTACACACCTGATAAAGACAACAGTCGCTCTGAGCCATTCTATTCAAACAGATTCAACTCTCCCGTGTACCAGGGTTTGAACAGTGCCTTTCTAAGCAGCCATGTACAAAATTTGTGCACCCTTCATGCAGCTGCAGGACTGAAGCCTTCCAAGGTCGTTCATTCAGTTCATGTTCAATTATTCGATGCAAAGAAGGCTGAACGTGACACTGATCAGTCAGAGAGAGATATACTTTTTCTTCACTGCTTGTCTTGCTGTTCTGTACTTGTTTATTTTCGTCACCTTTTGGAAACTTGTCATGTGATTTACGGTTTACTTTTACGTAAACCTCAATGACTAATCGACTAACCTATTAAATCATAACAACGAGAGGCAGTTTTTGAATACAATAAAACAAGGCTCTACTGCCGTTTGGGTCATCGCGAAAATATACAACTCGGGAGAGAGGACAAGCTGCCCACAACTCACGAGTTAATCCAGTCAGAGAAGGCCTTCTGCTCTTCGACCCTAACAGTGTGGTAGATGCCTTGCTCTTGTGAGGCCTCCGACAAGCCGCTGAGCACCTGC